AGAGCAGGCTGCCAAGCTCTGGGGTGGCTGTTTGGCCCCCCCCAGCCCTGCCGTGACGGTGTGTGCAGCCGGCTGCCCTCTGGTGACACCCTGCCTGGTCTGGGATGCCGGTGGAGCCGCGCAGTCACCATGGGCCATATTTCCTACCCACGCCGCTCCTTGGTGGGGATTCTCCTGCCGGTTATCCCGGGCTGAGTCAGAGATGGGCGATAAGGAGAGGGAGGCTCCTCTCCTCCGCTTGCTTTTGGAGCAGCTTATCTGTGGTGGCTGGGGTGGGGAACTGAGGGCTGAGCTCGTGTCCTGGCTGTGGACCTTGGGAGCCATGGTCCCACCACGGGTGGGTGGGCTGAGGTGGTGTCGGTGGGACAGGCCGTGTTCTGGTGGGGGGTGGTTTGCACAACCTCATGTTTGCCCAGGGGTGCTTGTGCCTGGGGGTGTAACCGAGGGGCTGAGGGGCTGCTGAGCAGACAGGGAAGACAGACAGAGCTGTCTGTGTCTGCTACCTGCGGCCATCTCCTTCCCACTGCTGGGGATGTGAAGGTCACAGCGGTGTGGGGTTTTTGGCTGGCTCCCCACTGTTCTGCTGCTCCACGCTGGCGAGCCCCAGCCGTGGCACAGCAGTGTGCAGAGCTCTCCATCCTCCCTGCGTGTGCCCCCTCATCCCTCTGGAGCCTCTGGAGCCAGCTGCCTGACGGCTGGCCCTGTGTTCCTTAATGCATATAAATGCCAGAAGGATGTGCTTCTCTTTGCCGTGCCTGCTTTCTTCCCCCCCGACTCCTCCTGCCCACAGCCCTCCTGGGGTTTGTCAGGCAGGCAGGTAGCAGGGACAGCAGGCAGCGTGCCAGGGCTCTCGGCTCTCCCAGCTCCTTTAAAAGGTGCTTTTGAGATCCTCCTCTGTGTAGGGGCTTGCGCTGAGTTTGCTGCAAACTGGGTTTGTGCATCCACTCCCAGTGGAGCGGGGCAGGGACAGCTGGCCAGGGGGCTCCTCTTGAGGCTTGTTAGCAGCTATCCCCGGCTAATGCTTTGGTGCTGCTGGTGGTCTTAAAAGCAGGTCAGGGCCAGCAACGCCCCGCTGAGGCATTTGTATGCAGTAGGTGTGCCGGAGCACCGCCAGGCCGCTGCGTGCGGGAGCATGCCGGTCTGGCCCAGCCAGCGGCTCCCAGCACGCTCAAGTGGCTGCTGCCCTCCCTGAGGGGGCTTGGGCAGGGGCGAGGGCAGGGTGCTGCCCCTCGGGTGGTGGGTGGGTGCATGTGGCCAGGTGGGGTTGTCCTTAGCATCTCGCAGGCTCCCTTGGTCCCTGCGCTGGGCATGCGTCTTCCTCTGGGGCAGGAGGTGGTGGGGCATGCTTTGTTAGGCTGCCTGCTAGAAGGGTGTGAAGTGGCAGAGTCTCCGCTGGGTGGGGTGGAACAGGCTGGACGCCGTGGGGGAAAGCCTCCTAACGAGGAGACTGTGTCCCGTTAGCTCCTCCTCCCTCCCTCATCCCTTTAGTTTGGGTTTGTTTCTATTTATTTTGTGGTTGGGTTTGGGCATGGCCTTGGCTGGATGTGAGGCTGCTGCGATGTGGCTTCTTTGGCTCAAGCACCACTTGTCCATCAACGTTTGGACCTTGCTACTCTTGGGGAGCACCTGGCTACCGCTGGCGGAAGGCAGCCCCAAGTCTCCCTTTAGGACTTTCCCGGTTACAGACTGGAGCTTGACGCACTTGGTGGTCCACAACAAAACCGGGGAGGTCTATGTGGGGGCTGTCAATCGGATCTACAAGCTCTCCAATAACCTCACGCTCCTGCGGACCCACGTGACGGGGCCCGTGGAGGACAATGAGAAGTGTTACCCTCCACCCAGCGTTCAGTCCTGCCCGCACGGGCTGGTCACCACCAACAATGTGAACAAACTGCTGCTGGTGGACTACTCGGGGAACCGGCTGATTGCCTGTGGCAGTGCCTCCCAGGGTATTTGCCAGTTCCTGCGGCTGGATGACCTCTTCAAGTTGGGTGAGCCCCACCACCGCAAGGAGCACTACCTCTCCAGCGTCAACGAGTCGGGCACCATGTCTGGGGTCATCATCGAGGTGCTGAATGGGCAGAACAAGCTCTTCATTGGGACACCCATTGATGGGAAGTCGGAGTACTTCCCCACCCTCTCCAGCCGCAAGCTGATGGCCAATGAGGAGAACGCGGAGATGTTTGGCTTTGTCTACCAGGATGAGTTTGTCTCCTCCCAGCTCAAGATCCCCTCGGATACACTCTCCAAGTTTCCCACCTTCGATATCTACTACATCTACAGCTTCAGCAGCGAGCAGTTTGTTTACTACCTGACCCTGCAGCTGGACACCCAGCTCACCTCGCCAGACTCCACCGGGGAGCAGTTTTTCACCTCCAAGATCGTTCGCCTCTGTGTGGACGACCCCAAGTTCTACTCCTACGTGGAGTTCCCCATTGGCTGCATGCAGGACGGCATCGAGTACCGCCTGATCCAGGACGCCTACCTGACCAAGCCTGGCAAGGCTTTGGCCAAGTACCTGGGCATCTCGGAGCGGGAGGATATCCTCTTCACCATCTTCTCCCAGGGCCAGAAAAACAGGGTTAAGCCTCCCAAGGAGTCTGTGCTCTGCCTCTTCACGTTGAAGAAGATCAAGGATAAGATCAAGGAGCGTATCCAGTCATGCTACAGAGGAGAAGGGAAACTCTCGCTGCCCTGGCTCTTGAATAAGGAGCTGGGCTGCATCAATTCGGTAAGTTCCCGCTTGTCTCTACCCAAGCCAGGCTGTTTCTGGTTCCTGGTGGTGCTCTCTGGTCGGACCGTTCCTGGTGACCTGACCTGAGCTGTGTTTTTCCAGTGGGAGGACTGGCGCCGTTAGGGCTGGGCGCTCGGCTTGCTCAGTAGCATTCCTTGCAGAGATCGCGGCTTCAGTGTGGCCGACCGTCTGGGTTTGGGTTGCATCGGTGCCCACGGAGAGCCCCAAGCAAGGGGCCCTGTGCTGATGCAGGTGCCTGCTTCTGGTTCCCCTGCCCCATGGATTTGGGGGGTGTCGGTGAGCTAGGCTGGGAGTGTGGGATGCTCTGTCCTCAGGGCATCTGCTGCAGCTCTGTGGATGGCACATGTGAACTTGCGAGTGTCGTTTCACCTGGGGCTTGGCGGTGGCTGAGTGGAAGGTGTGGGGGGCAGTAGGATGTTGGGGACGGGGAGCGCAGACCTGATGGAGGAAGGTGGGGAGGTCGGTGGTCCTGGTAGAAGTTGGTCGTGCTCAGCGTGGAGAGACCACATCCTCTCCATGGAGTGCTGCAGAGGAGGACAGAAGGCACAAGGTGCTGTCGGTGGGGGGGGTTTGAGCGTGGCCAGTGTCAACTGTTGTCCAGAGGTGCAGGAGGTGAGTGCTGGCATCCCCGAACAGCGATTCCCAACCATGGGAGTGCTCCCCTGTGTTCCTGGAGATGCGTCCCTGCCTGGTGCTTGCATGGGCGTGTCTGGCCCCTGCTTGTGGCTCACCTGCTCTGTTGGGGGCCTAAGAGTGGTGGGCAATGGGGGACCTCCCGACTTGGCTCTCTGGGTTTGTTTTCCAGCTGAACTATTACTATGGGTGGATTTTTTTTCCAGGCAATGTTATAAACCATGAGTGGTCACAGGGATGCTACAGCTCTGGGTGACGGGGGGGTCTTACACTGGGCATCACCAAGCTGGGCTGGCTAGTCCCCTGGCAGGGTCAGATGCCTGGTAGAGAGGGGGTTTGGGGTGCTGGTGTGTGCATTTGGAACAGTCTGGTTGGGGTCCCAACACCCCTGCTATTGCCCACCTCTCCCCAGCCCTGCTTGCTGGTGCTTGGCGCCCATCACCAAGCCCCAGCCCTGCCTGAGCAGGGTTTTGGGTGCCTGGTGGTGCAGGCAGATGGGCAGGGGGTCCCTGCGGAGCAGCCCTGTCTTCCCTCCCGCCGTCCTCCCCGCAGCTCCGGTAGAGACAGCTAACAGCTGCCTGACAAAGTAAAGGGTTTGCTGTCAAGAGCGCTGGGCTCGCAAATCAGATTTTGGCTTTGAACTAATTCAATTTTGCTGGAAAATGATGAAATCATTACACTGCTGCCTGTTGGGTTGTGCAGCTGCTGGCTTTGGAGGAGGAGACGCTTGCAGCCTCCTCGTGCATTCCCGGCTTGCCTTCCCCGGTGCCCCACAGCAACACCGTGCCCCCCGGGTTTGGGGAGCGGGCTCTGACCCCTTTGGCAGAGCTTTGTGCTAGGAGGGTCCTGGGATCGCTACCCAGTGACCAGTCTGTGTGAGTGGGTGGATCTCAAGGTGCTCTTTGGGTCCTGCAGGCACAGCTCTTGCAGGGCGGAAGGATGTGTGCCGTGATGGGGTTGCTCTTGATTTTGAGTGGGTTGGGTTGGGGGGTGCCACTCTCCCCCAGGGGAGCCAGGTGGTGTTTTCTGTCCCCGTCCTGCTCCAGCTGCCAAGCAGAGCCCAGAAAGGCATGGCTGGATCACGAGTTTAGCCCTCAGCCCGTCCCCGTGCTGGGCAGAAGCCAAACCAGACCCCGTGGAGCATGTAACCTCTTTCTGGCAGGAATCTCTGCCCCTAATAAAATGCAGCCACCTCTGGGGTGGGTCGTGGCAGTGACAGATCTCTTGGTGGTGAGGGCTGGCCATAAAATAAAGGGCATGTTGGGGTTTTTTTTTAAGGAGGCAGAATGTAATTGCTCAAGTCAGTAGTTGCTTGGGATTTACACGCCTTTGGTATGGAAAACATGCCGGAAGCTCTTGCTCTGCTCCTTCGTGATGGCAAGGGGCTGAGGCTGGTCCACGCTGGAGGAGGCTTTGCTGGTGCCCTGCTCCCAGACCTCAATCAGTGCTGGGCCCAGGGATGCTTGTCCCCCAGTGCTGCAGGGCAGCTCCAATTCTCTGGAGTCAGTGCCGGAGCCAGGAGGAGAGGCCGCCAGGCTTGGCAGCCAGCTCGGGCGATGTTAGTGGTTCCTCCCCAGTGCTGGCGAGCGGAGTGAATTCCTGTCTCCTCTCTCTCTCCTTCTGGGATCCAGCGAGCCGGCAGCAGGAAGGGAAGCGACACCCCTCGTGCTCGGACCCATGTGTGGGCCTGCATGCACAGCAAAGGCAACTTGTGGGACTGTTTGGTCCATTCTCCTGCGTCAGCCTCACTGCCTAAATCATTCCTGCGTCTGTTCTGAGGTTTTGCTGCTCTTGGTGTTTCACTGAAGAGGGTTTTGGTTTTGTGTAGCCCGGCTCTTTGCTGTCCCTCTGCAACACAGGGGTCAAGGTCTGTGTGCCCGCGGCCAGACGTGCTCAGTGCATCTCCCCAGCATGCCTGTCCCCCCGTTCATGGGGCACGAGGGTCTGAGGGAGCAGGGCTGGGAGGGGGCAGCAAGTTGGAGCTGGAGTGGAGATGTTGCAGCAGGGAGCGATTCGGGGTTCCCGGATCCTCGACCCCCAGGCTGGCAGCGTGGGCAGAGCCAGTGCCCGGAGCTGGTAGGACGTGGGCAGCAGCACTGCCCAAGGGAGAAAATGAGTTTTGAGTGCTTGGTGGGGCTCGCTGCCCAGCCTGCTGGCACAGGGTGACGGCTGGTAACAAACTGGCCCAAACTGGGCCGGGATAAGCCAAATCCTTCTCAGAGACAGCCAGAGAAATGCAGATGTTAACTAAGTGTACAGCACTGGGGTTATTCCTGGGCAGCGATTAACGTGCAAAAAGCCTGGCATCCCAGCCTAGCACTTGGTACCTGCCTCCGGCAACCTCCTCCCTGGCCCTTCATGTCCCCTGCATCCTCCATGACAGCCCCTGGCGGGGCACAGGGGGCTGGGGTGTGCCTGTAATGGTGTTAACTGGCGAATTACTGGCTAATTAATAACACTGAGCGGTGTGAGCCTCGCCTCTGCTGTCTGCTCCCTCATTGCTTTCGTAAGTGGGCTTGAAGGGAAGCAATGAGACAAGGCACATCAAGGAGATGGCCCGCTCCTGCTCGCTCGGTGCTGTGGGCCTGCTTTCCTCGCTCCGGCAGGCTGCTTCTCCTGGGAAATCTGAGTTTCCTGACCCTATGTGCTAAAGGAAAGCAATGAAATAAAAACAAAGGAAAAAAAAAATAACACCAAACTCCCAGAACAAACCACCCCCACCTTGGGCTGAGGCCATGGTCCCTGCAAACACCCGTGCAAATGGGAGAGCGGGCAGAGCTCGACACCTCCTGCAGATCCCAGCATCTGCAAGCTGAAACACTGCAAGGTCACTGGCCCTCATGTGCCGTGGTGCGTGTTGGTCCCTTTTGGCACTGGTCAGGGGACAGCTGCCCCTCCATCCTTCTGCCTCTCCATCGCTCTGTCCCTCCGCTTTGCCTCTCCCCACAGCCTGCATCCGCCAGGGATGTCGGTTGGTGCCATAACCCCCGTACCGCTGCCCTTGGCCCGACCTCGCCATGCTGCCTGCCTGCGCTTCCCTAACGAGGCAGTTTTCTGTTAATGAGCTAATTGTCGGCGTAATTATTTATCGAGGTGGTGTCGGCATCGCGGCGGTGGCGGGCGCTCCTCGTGGTCCCGGAGCGCAGCTGTATTTGTCGTTTCCCAGAGAGTTTGTTGAGACAAAGCAGAGAGGAGTAAACACCGTAAACATCTCTCCTCTTGCATATTCAGCAGCGGAGGGGTTGGGGAAGCTGCAGATTGAGTTCAAGAGAGCAGAAACTGCACCCAGGGACTGCTGGGGCTTAAACACCTTCATGGCATTGCCCTTAACCCCTCTGCTGCTGCTGGTGGCCAGGTGGAAGGTGCTGGGATGCTTTACCCGGGGCAGAGGGGCTCTCATGGCCAGAGAGTGGTTTTTCCTAGTAAAGTGCCTGAAGGATCCTGGGTATCCGACGGGAGCTGGGTATCGGCTGGAGCATCGCTTCTGCCTCGCTCCATGGTTGGGAAGATAATTTTCTTGGATCTACTGTTTTAAAACATTTAGCCTGGTGATGCAGAGGAGGATGCTTAGTGCGTGTGCTGGCTGATGGACAGGAGAGGGTGCTTGCGAGGCTGGGGTTCAGAGGCTGGGTGCAGAGGTCCTAATTCCCTTCCCCCTTTTCCTGTGGTTGCAGAGACGCATGATGTCCCACGTTCCTGTTTTGGGGGATTGCCGCGTCTCTCATGCCTAG